TTTTTTTTTTTTTCCTTTTTTTTTATATCATTGGACATATTTGCAAACATGATGTAGAAAAGTTTCGTTCGTCTACTTTGTCGTTTTATTATTAATTTTTATTAATTTCATTTGATTTTAATTTTTCTCATGTTTTTTCTTTTTTTTTTTTTTTTTTTTTTTTTTTTTTTTTTTTTTTTTTTTTTTTTAACTGTGAGATATATTTAATAATAAAAATTAATTTAAAAAAAAAGAAAAACCGAACGAATTTAAATTTAATGGAATATGATTTAAATGCAAAAAAAAAAAAAATAATAAAAAAAATAAAACGCAAGAGCAAAAAAAAAAAAGAAAAAGAAGAAAAAAAGAGGAAATGGCGGCGTACGCGACAAGGTGAATTTATAAATAATATGTAATGCCTTAATGTTAATAATAATAATGGAATAGCGTTATTACATAATATCGATTAGTTCACGGACGACGATGGATAATGTGGATGAAGTGGGGAAGAAGAGGGAGGAAGGAAAGAATAAGAAAAAGATAAAGAAAGAGATAGGGAAAGAAAGAAAGAGAGAGAGAGAGAGAGAGAGAGAGACAAAAAATGTTGAGTAATTAATTACTACGAATAATCAAAGTGGAAGATAAACAATTAATAAATAAAAGAAAAATTGATATACACAGACACACACAAAAAAAACACAACAAACCAACTAAAAAAAAACGGGAAGATGAAGGATCATTTTTGTCTCTATCGTTTTGTTCGTAATTTAATATTTTTTTATAATTCCGTGAACTAAAGAGAGAAAGAGGAAGAGAGAGAGAGAGAGAGAGGGAGAGAGAGAGAGAATGATTGAGTGTGTGAGAGTGAGAATGAAAAAGGGAACGGCAAAAGTGAAAAGATAGAAAGAAAGAAAGAAAGAAAGAGAGAGAGAGAGAGAGAGAGAGAGAGAAAGTATAAAATTGTGTGTGTATAGAGCGGACTGCTATTTCAAAATAGTTCAGGCTAGATGTCGATGTTTGTAGCGGATAAAGAACAATACAAAAACAAAACAAAAAAAAAAAACACAATTCAGCATATTGTAATTAAAATTAAAAGTCATTAATATCGCTCGCCTTTCATTTCGCCATACAAAATCTTACTATTAGTACAATTCCTATCACAAATTTAAAAAAAAAAGAAAAAAAAAAAGAGAAGAAAAAGAAATGATAATAATAATAATAATGAATGAATTAATTAATTACGAGTAATATATGAAAGATATAAAATATTCGTGGATTATGTGTGAACGAGTTTTTTACGCAGATATTATTTAAATTAATAATAATCGATGATTTTTTTATATCGATTATTATATTAGTTAGAATTCGTATTATGTGTAACTTCTTTCGAGTCAAATTTGTTCTTTCTTTTCGATGATAGAATATTTATGGGAACGTCGCAATCCCTGTACAAAAGATCACAATTTTCACCACGTATTCCAGCCGATCCTGCATCATCGATCAATCGATCCCATCCTGTTGACGATTGAACTGATTTTTCAACGTTCCTTCTGTAATTATAATACACATTTTTTATTCTAATCAACAGATTATCTAATATATCGGAATATTCGGACAAATCAGTATCTTTTATATAAATAAAGATACTAATTAAATCTTATATTATCTCATCTTATCATAGAAAAAAGAGATAAAAAAAAACCTATGACACTTACGTCAAATATTTACCGAGTAATTTTCCAATCAAGCCAAGATCTTGAAATAATTTATGATTTTCTAAACAAATTGTTCTTTGAATGCAACGTACACGTGCGTCATCGTTTAGCACAATTTCTTCTTCTGGTGTCTATTAAATTAAAATAGAAACATTTAGATTTTAATTTAAAGAAAAAACTCGTATAATATATAATTAATTAATTAATGTAAAATATAAGCAATTAATTTTACTAACAACATTATGAAAATCGTAAGTAGAATGAACGTCGCGTTTACGTTTGGATGGAATTACATCTATCAATGCATCTTTTCTTTTAGAAGAAACTAATGTGTTTTGAATGATAGCAAGTAACAAGAGCAAACCAATGAAGCTGACTATCACAAGTTGTTTAGAAGTTGGTGGTGCTATCGCATGTTCTACATTTTGCACAACTGGGTAACCAATGTTTGGATATTCAAAGGCGTAAGGTAAACTCTCGCTTCGGTGATGAACGATTGGTGGCTGCAATGCTGATTAAATTCATATTAATTATGAGAAAAAGTCTATCTTATTTTTTATTATAAAAAATAACAGCAAGGTTTGTTCTCATCTCGGCCGATAATAATAATAATATTTTTTTGATTAAATCATTCGGCGGGTATATTTTTTATTTTTATTTTTTTTTTTTAAATCATGATTACAATTTTGTTATTATAAATTAATTTTAACATGCGATAAAAGAAAGAAAAAAGAAAAAAGGAAGAGAGACACTGGGCGAATGAATATTTAATTTTATATGTTAAATATTGATCGATTAATAATAATAATAATTATAAGCTCGGTAATTTTAATAAATATCAGAATATTCTTTAATTAAATGATAATATTTATTTATCATCCAAAACGTATATTTTGAATTTATACAAATTAGCTGAATAATTATTAACAATTTAATTTATTGAGAAATGATAATTATAGTAGACGTATAATTGATTTGAAATTAAATATTTATTGTGTTATTGTATTAAATTACTATATCTCTTTCTTTTATTTTTAATTTATTAGTTTCTTTATCAATCTATGATATTAAAAAAGTAAAATGAAGTTTTTACCAGGAAGATAATAACTCGGTGGTAAAAGTTGCTGAGATATATGAACCGAAGAAGCCTGTGTAGAATCCGGATGAAAAGTCGAGTCGATTATCTTTCCAACAAATTCCAAACTAGAATTATTTTCTTTGTTAGGAAAATATGGTACGACGTTAGTATCCTGAGCGATAATTAAAACGACCGATGACGAGAAAATTAAAAGAAAAATTTGAATTCCTATGGAAAAACAGCACATTTTGTTTTAAACGAATTATATTTTAAGTTAACTCTTCTTAGAGATTCAAGAAGAAAATATATATTTTTTCCAACATACGAACTGCGAAACGACGAGGACGAATGAAAACTGAAGAAATTCAACGATTCAACGTGATCTTTAAATAATCCTCGCTCGCAAAAAGTAACGCACAATTTACTCCTTCGTGTCCTCGTGAATTCGATACACTTGAGATAATCGAATAAATGAAGAAACAATTCGTAGAAAACCTTTGATCGTGCGTGTGCTTAGGCTCGTTGACTCCTCTGACGAGATACGAAAGAATCATACATGACTACTTACTTACACCGTATTAATTTATTCAGTTTATATCTAACTCGACAAGCTTTCACGGTGAGAGTATAATACAAATTATAATATCAAAATTAAATATAAGTAACTTTTTCATATTATTATAGAAAACTATTCGTCGATTTTTAATTTTTTATCAATACTTTGTTCAAGAGTTTTTGCATTTATTATAATTGGATTTCATTATTGCGTGTGTATTATTTACGTATAATTTGCAGTATCGATTCAATTATCGTTTCAATTTATTATTCTTTTCATACTAAATCTATATATATATATATATATATATTACAGGGAAGTGTGTTCGTGAAAATGTTAACACGTTCATCATTTTTTGGATTCTATCATATTTATAAATACTGTAAAGATTTCAATGTGGAATCGCGAGAATCACGAAAAAGATTTACTGGTTCTTTTGTTTCTTTTTTTTTTTTCTAAAATAAAAATAAGATAAAAAGAGAAGTGTTTCGGTGTAAATCTGTAGCCACAAGATCCCAAAGCGATCAGAGGGAAAGAAAAAAAGAAGAAGTAAAAGAAGAGGATTGTAAAAGGGAAGGGGTGGTAGAAAGGGGGAAGTGGAAAGGGGTTGAAATGGTTGCTTAGGATGCCTACTGAATCCAACGGGGTTGCTATGGCGATGGAACGGCCGACATTGAAGTGGGATGCGGGGGATGTTGGTAGGGTGTTGCCCGGAGGGTGTTCGTCTGTCTGGAGCCCCTTCTCTTTTTCTAAAGGGGATGATGTTCTTCGTGCTGTCTGTCTGAGCCACTCACTCGCATTACTACTCGCTCGCGTCAGCTGTTTTAGAGACGAGTATACGATTTTTGTCATCCCTTTCTTTTCTTTTTTTCTTGCTTTTTTTTCTCCTTTTTTTTCATAAAGAAGAAGAAGAAGAATTCTCTTAAACCTCCATAACGTTCATATCATATTTTCACGAATATATTTTTCTTTATCGTTCAATTCATTTCTTTTGGAAGCACATTCGCGAAATATTTTACGATTTAATATTATTTAACATTGTTATATTATATTTTTATAAATTTCTTTTGAATTCTTATAATTATAATCATAACTTTTTTTTTTTTCAAGTAATATATTCGTGTATTTATTTTGTTTTTTTTCTCCCTTTTAATTTTGTTATATTGTTTTATCTTAAAATAAATGTATCATCAAATATTCGAAGCTTAAATATTTGATAATAACGTATTAATATTATTGTGTGTGATTACAATTTAATATATAATTATTATATTTAGTAATTTTCTTTTTCAAATTTCGTAATATTATTTCCATCGCGCAAAATTAATTACTGACATATCCTAAGGGTTGATATTTCCAAATATAAATTTCATATTAATAATCATTAACACTGTAAATTTCATGTACAATTTATTATCCTAAAAAAAAAATAATAATCATATTAAATTAAATTGTCTGTATATTTTTGTTAATTAGTAAATATTGAAAAAAAAACACGTCGAATTTTAAATAAAAATTTATTGTCATTTCGTTTCTTTTTTTCCTTTTTTTTATTTTTTTTTACACTTATTTATGAAGAAAGAAAGAAAAAAATAACGGGTGTAGATATTTTTCATGTCGGAGATAATAAAGACGCGATATTCTGAGCCGACTTGTTAATTATGTCGTGTTCTATTATTTCGAGACTAAACATAATGATCTATTCTCGAACAAGGCAAAGTTTCAGAGCAGAGCTGAGCTGAGCAGAGCAGAACAGAGCAGAAAGTATCGAATATAAAGTATTAACGCTCGAGTTAAGTGCAGGGCTTTGCTCTATAATAAAACTCATCGGCGATGTTGAAGTCGATGATTATGGAAATACTTTGATGTTATTAATTTTACAGTCTATTTAATTAGATTACCGTCAAGAGTCTTGTCTTCTTGTAAATATTACTTGCCGATTAATTTCTTAGTTAAAGTATAACAATATTTTATCGTAAATATATTTCTTATCATATTTTTTTTCATGATTTACCAATATCTATTATTTATTTCTATTTTAATATGATAATTTAATTCTATTTTTTTTTTTTTTT